TGATTACAGACGCCACTTCGATCCAGGCCTGAGGGCTACAAAGCCAAGCCTAGGGAGTAGGAAGAAATGATCTCAATTATCACTATGGGGGCGGGGAGGGGTGCCCTGTGGATCATTGCCAGCTCCCAGGAGAACACACACAGTTCACTACTCCGGCAGTGACCCAGATGAAAGCAAGAATGCCATCTCCAAAGTCCCAAATGGCCAGGCAGAGCCAAGGGAAGGATCCCCTTATGGGCTATACAGGGGACCAGAGCCCCGCTATACAAGGCATACTGGTTTCTGAAAGGTACTGGCCTTGGCAGCCAGGCTAACACTGACCTCTAAGACAGTGGTTTACAGAAGCTCCTCAACTGAAGTTATATCCTGATGAACGTACCAGAAGTTTAAAACAAAGTAAGTCGAAACTACCAGGCCTAACTTACCAAAGCACAGCATCAGCACCAGGATGCACTGCAGACTCTCGATGGCTGACTCTCACTCCTGTGGGTGGGCACTTGGGTGCCACAGCTGCTGCTATGGCCAGCGAGCACCATACTCCATCACCAGCTGAGGAAAAGATACACTCAAAACCTTAACTACTGCTGCCACTCGATGCATCCTGCTTTCCCTGGGTAGTGCTGGGAAGTCATTGAGTCCTCATCAGCCGTGTCTGGGGCAGGAGACGGAGGGAAAGGCAAGCACATCCGGGAACACAGAGAGTTGCCTGTGGACCATCACGGAGAGACTACGAAGCATAGACTGACAGGGAAGGACTGCAAACCTCCCCGGGACCCAGGCACCTGACATCTCATTTACACCAAGAGATTTACTGTGTACAGAAAGAACGCTTCCATCCTAACAGAGCTCAGCAGATCCTCTCTCTCCCAGGGCAGAAACACCCACAGACAAAAGCAGGCCAGGGGATGGCCGAGCTCCCTCCAGAAGCCAAGGGACTCAGGACCAGGAGGGAGGGCAGGGGTGCAGGGCAGTCACATAGGCCAGCAAGCAGGGCAAGCCGAACAGTGTTATGTAGCTGCTTCTCAAGAAACATCTAGAAACTGAAGCTAGAGGAACAGAACGCTGCACTTTCCAAGACAATGTACAAAGGCAATTTTTTAAAGTGTCTTTTGTTTTCAGTACTTGCTGAATATTAACACGAACAAACATCAGACTACACGGAAGCCTTCACCCCTCAGATGCAGAGTCCGTTCAGCTGGATTACTGCAGTCCTCAACTACGTAGTGCGCCTTTCCCTTGGGGTCCCATGGCCCTCACCCCCAAGACGTAGCTGATTCTTGCCGGGCCCCAAAGTCTCAGACCTGCTAACATTACAACCCCAGGGTAGGTGCCTGTCTCCTCTCCAGGGCCATCTGCCCTCAGATCAGGGGGGCTCATGGTCAGCAGGCCACGTGGGGCCTCCCAGAAGCCCAGGCAGGTCTCCCTCCCAGGCTCTGCTTCAGACTGTGCACTGAGTTGTGCGTGATCTACAGTTGGGAGCGTCTGCTGTAAAACGGGTCCTCAACAGTGACACCTCGAAAGGTGTCACCCATCCCTGTTGGAGAGTTTTCCAAGTTATATATATGTCTGCTGATACTCTTTTATAAAGGCACAGCCTAAGTGGCCAGCACAGTCGGAGTCAGACAACCTGTACTAAACACTAGGCTGAATGGCAGGCTATCTCAGAACCCAGTACAAAGCAGCTGCAAGCCTTTCTCGTTTCTGACTGGTGAAAATGTAATGAGTCGGTTTTCACTGCTGTTCTGTACCAGCTGTGTAAACACTATCCTCTCGCCCCCGAGTGTGGCTGACACACCTCTGTGGAGCTGCCAGTGACAGCGAGCGGAAAACGCTCCTGCTGCTTTTCTAAAACACCGAGGGGCTGAGAACGCGGCAGCGCGGTGGCTCACCATCTGCTCGGTGGACAAGGGACCCCGGTTTTGAGGGCCGGGGAGCCGGCTCAGTGGGTAAAGTACTTGCCGCACACGCGTGAGTATCTGAGTTCAGATCCCCAGCTCCCACATAAAAGGCTGGGTGAGGTGGCGTGCCCTGTCACCCCAAATCCCGGTGCTAAGGAGGCAGAGAGGGGAGGATGCTTGGGGTGTGCCGGCCAAGCAATCTAACCAAACCAGTAAATATTAGGTTCAGTGTGACCAACAGACAGGCCGACAGACAGACAGACAGACACACACACACACATGACCCTGTGACCCATCTCCTATAACCCCTCCCACTCACCCCAAGAAAGAAAACATACACCATCACGGTTTTCCTTTTAATCTGAAAACAAAAATGTAACGGCGAGCAGGCATAGCTGTAGCTGCCGTGTGTGCAGACCGTGAGTGGAGGCTGACAAGCGCTTCACAGACACGGTCCTACAGCCAGCATCCCCGAGGCTCACACAACCCAACAGCGTGGTGGGTCTTTTACTTATTGATACTTGTTTGTTTAGTTTTTCAAGACAGGGTTTCTCTGTGTAGCCCTGGCTATCCTGGAACTCACTCTGTAGATAGACCAGGCTGGACTTGAACTCACCGAGATCCTCCTGCCTCTGCCTCCCATGTGCTGGGATTAAAAGGTGTGCACCACCACCTGGCTTCCATTTTTATTTTTATTTTAATTTTTGATAATCAACTCTGCTGCTGGGTTCCACTCCTGGAAATACACCAGAAGGTGACCTTGGCAGGTTACTTACTTCACACTTAGTACTTCAATTTCTGTAAAATGTGGGGGGAAAGATCTATTTCAGAGTTCAAAAATCAAACATGCTAGGGTAGGCAATGCTCTCAGGAAACTGTCTGACACACAGTAAGCATACGATAAATTTTAACCAGGAAAATAATAATGCGTTATTAGCATCCATCAAAGGTTGCCTGCATCACTAATTAGCGAAATTTCATCTATTAACTGGAAGCTTGGCACCTACTAATAAGTGGTTTATTATCCACAGGACTAGTCATTAGGAGCAGAGGAACAGCCAAGCAAACACACCAGGTGCATCTGGTCATCTGAAATTGCTAAGTGACCTGGACAACCAGCATCAGAGGCTGGAGTAACCCAGGTTAGAGCAGATGCGTCAGGCAAACAAATCCTCACTTCACTGGGGGCAGTTTTCCAGAGATGTGCCGGAAACCCTTAGGAGAAACATTAACTCCGGCCAGAGCTATCTCCTCCTCCGCCATGTCTCACGTCCTAGGAGTCTACTCCAGTTCTTCCCTGCTGGAGCAGGGAGAGCCCAATCCCACTAGCTGGTGCTTTCCAGAGAATGTAAGCAGATTTGCAAATCTGGATTCAGTTCTTCAGGGAACACTGATGTCACGGTGCTGAGGGCCCATGAGACACAGATACAGGATATGGAGACTGGCCTGAAAACATGTCACTTTTTTTTCCTTTTCAATCAAAAATTAAAAAATTTTTTTTTTCTTTGTGAAATGGTGAATATTTCCTAGCTGGCTTTTTGTTGCTGAGATAAACACTATGACGAAAAGCAGCTTGGGGAAGGAGCGGGTTTAATCTGGCTTGCAGGTTGTTCGGACCATCACGGCCGGAAACGGGCAGGAGCTCCAGCCAGGTACCTGGAGGCAGGAACTGCAGCTCACACCATGCAGGACACTGGTTACTGGCTTGCTCCACCATCTTTCTTGTACAGCCCAGGCCCACCTACTTAAGGGTGGTACCAACCAGGGCAGGCTGAGCCCTCCCATATCAACAACAGTCCAGAAAAATGGGCCAATATGATGGCGGCAATGCCCTAGCTGAGGTTCCCTCTTCCCAGGTGACCAGCATATGTCAAGTTGACAAAGACTAGCCAGGACAACGAGCATACTAGACACAGTATACGCATGCGTGTTCTGCGTGTTCCTGTATGTGCAGATGGGGGCTGGGTGCATATGGAGGCCAGAAATCTACTGATTCTGTTGGACTGGCTGACCAGAAAACCCCAGGATCCTCACGTCTCTACCTCCCCAGCTCTGGGATTACAGGTACACCCAACTTTCTTTGAGTGTGGGTGATCTGAACTCAGGTCCTCAGGCTCGTGTGGCAAACACTTCTGAGCCATTTCCCCAGCCCCAGCATACACATTCTCATGTACAAAGTAGTATGTGTGGCTACGCCTCAAAGAGGTGAGGAACTTAAGACGAATTTGAGAGCCAGGTGTGGTAGCACATACCTTTAATCCCAGTGCTCTGGAGGAAGACAGGAGGATCCCTAAGTTCAAGGCCAGCCTGGTCTACAGAACGAGTTCAAGAGCCAGGGCTACAAAGAGAAACCTTGTCTCAAAAACAAAAAGATGAAACTGAGGCACAGTAGTCCTTCCCAAGGAAACCTAACCATGTAGCGCGTGCGTGCGTGCGTGCGTGCGTGCGTGCGTGCGTGCGTGCTCGTGCGCACCCGCATGCACGCGCGCACACACACAACTGACAAGTTTCACAGTACAAAGGAGCAATCTCCACAGCTCACAGCATCAGAACTTCATTAACAAAACGAGACTTCAGCTGAACCCTTGAAATGTTTCTCCAAAACAAAGTTTTATGTTCTTATAGTTTTCCTTCTGCCCTGACTTTAACAAAACCTAATACTCTTCTATTTACAATTTAAGTTTTTTTCTTTGTTGTGTTAAACTGAATTATCAAAACTAGTGTTTGTCTAATATGTAGGATCTTTATTTCTTTGCCCTACCCCAAGGTAGGTTAAGTCATTTTTCCTTTATACCATTATTTTCTCTAGTACAATCTGTTTCCTTCCCTTCCTTTTAATATTTTCACTCCAAATACATTATGCACCAAGTGTCAGGCCAAGCCACATTTACTTAACACTTATTCACTCTGGGGACCGAATGTGTTTTCTCCTTCTTCCCCTTCACAAAACATTTGACAAAAAATTGGGGTGCCCACAGGTACACACCCTGTCCCAAGGCAGAAACACAGGGAGACACAGGAAGGGAAAGCTCTCACTACAGACATCTGCAGGTGAGTGCTGGTCACTAAAGTTGCTTATCTCCTACTGTAAGCCAAAATTACCTTTGTCTGCTCACTGTCTGGGTCTTCAAGCCAAGCATAAGGATCACAGATTTTATGTCCATGATAATCCTGTACCTGCAAAAGACAAAATGAGAGGTCTTGAGTAAGCAGTGCCCAAGCCCAGTTAAAGAATATATATTCTGTCTGTGGAGAAATGCGAAAGGGCCAGACAAGGACACTAGCTGGCTCCCTGGCAACATGTCTGCCCAAATCACCACACGAATCAAAGTTGGCAGCTTCTCAAAGGTGTCAAGCCACTCTTCGTGAAAAGAATGTTTTAGCAGGAAAAAAAGATCAAAGTCTGAATAGGAACCGGCTCCATCTGTACAACATTGAACAGCATGGCAGGCTGCTGGGCTAGAGAAACTCACAACTGTGTTGCTGGGGTGAAGCACAGAAGGACACAATGCCGTGGGCACACACGGAGGACGCACCTGGGAGTCAGCACACACGTCAGCACACACGCGCTTAGGCTCCTGTTCACACTGGCCTTGGCTAATGAAATCAGCTCCCTATAACATGGCATATGATCAGTTTTGCTTTGGGTCTGAACTAGTAAAAGTTTCTAATTCATACCCTGGTTCTGCTGCCAGCTACAGAAGCTGGCCTACACACCATAGGGCATGCTCAAACCACAGTCTCTTTTGGACTGTTATGAGATCATCTTTTGTCACTTACACACAGCACAAATGCCATCACACACACACACACACACACACACACACACACACACACACACACACACACACAAACACACCACAGCACAAATGCCATCACCACTTAGATACTTGCAGAAATGAAATTGTTCCATGTTGACGGAGCCTGGGGTGGGGGGAGCCTCTGGAACTCTCGACTAAGATGCTTCTAACAGCACAAAGTCCAAGGCCTGGCCCCAAGGACCATAAAGAGGCTTGCTCCTCACCACTCTCCATGTGATCATGCCTGAAGACACAATCCAAAAGGAAAATGCACTATACAATCTCTCTACTTCAAAGGGTCATGATGAATCCTATTAACTAACGCCTACTGTCAGTTCCTCCAGTCTGGTCTGTGGGTGACCCTAACACTCTGGGCAAGGCTTCTTGCACTGGGGTGTGTGGGACCGTCACCTCTACCATGATGAATTTTTAACTTGTCTCCTTGCTTTACACCACAGAACCAGAAGGCTGGGGCTATTCCCCAAGGAAGGCAAACTCTCCTCCCGGAAAGAGCACCTGAACGTTCTTTCTAGCGCTCCTCCAAGCCCAGTGTCTCCTGCCTACACCCCTGCCTGTCGGCATTTCTCCCTATCTGGAGCCACCTGAGAGAAATGGAGGATGGACAGAAAAGGCTGGGTGAGCAGGAGGAAGGTCTGGAAGGAGTTTCATTATACAACAGACAGACCAGCACAAGAGACCCAAAAACAGACTAAACCCGCTCCTCAAGGGTCTTCATAAAAACCGATTTTCCACCTTTATCACTCAATTTTGGCTGAAAGCCACTCAATGAAAGCATTTTAAGATCTCATCTACAAATCTTTTGCATTTGATACCTTGAGTGGTTATATAATAGGTTTATAGTAAAAACTTTCTCTCTGTTGTCAATACAGAAATAATAGTTTTAAAGTCCTCTGAGGAGCTCTGGCAGGCACAGGATTGAGCAATATGCCTACAACCATCCACATTCAGTCAGGGCTGTGACCAAACCAGTCGGCCAGCCTGGAGTGCAGACCACTTTAAAAATGTTCTTGGGCATACCCTCCAATTTGCTTTTCATAAGAAAGTAGAAAAGTTAGTAACGTAGTCATAGCAGTCCACCCTGAGGTAAAGTGTTGCTGTGGTATTTATTGAGCATTCATTGACCATTCACAACTTTGCTATATAAAAAGTTGTTGATAATTCCAGGTTACAGATTGCAAAACACAATTCAGAGAGGTTAATAAGAAGAAAGGTCAAATGGTTTATTGTGTGTGGGGCGTTTACCCACCAACCCCACAGCTCCCCAGAGTTTTCTTGAGTGTGAGCAGCAGGAAATATTAGATAGAAGGATTTATTTCGGAGAATATTGCAGAGATAAACAGACAGAAAATACAGGATAGCCTTGAGAAGGCCTGGAACCTTTTCCAACAGGCCATGACTGTCTCTGCCTCAGGGTTTTTATAGAGATGCCAAGGGGTGGAGCAAAAGACCTCCTCCCCCAGCACAGCCAAGTGCAGACCATCTCAGACACCTGCACTCAGGCCCATGGTCCTGATCATCCTCTATGCGGACCTGTTGGGTAAAGCCACGAGGAAACCGAAAACAGGCTCCCACAGGTCCCCCCTTCTTAATATATAAAAAAATAACTATTAATGGCTTTCTGCAATCTCCATAGCTGTTACACCTCCCAGTATGGGAGTAGAGGATGATATAGATGGCATTTCTCTTTTGAATTAGGTCCAAGGTGACTACAGCAGTCTTAGCTGCCTCAAGCCCTTTCTAAACCAAAAACTCTTAAGGC